TCGGAAGGGAAGAAGGCCTTTCCTGCTCGCCGCTCTCTTTCCCCCCCGATGTCCTAATCTTTAGTTCCTCCGCTTCTTTTACTACTTCCCTCGCCCCTCATCGTCCCTTTCGGTTTCATCTTTCGGGGGAATCAATTCTCCCGGGCGCGCTTTCGAAACACTCCCGCAACTTCTTTATAAAGCCCGCGGAAAGGGGCCGAAAACGGGCACAAACGAGCAAGCTTATACACGTGGAGTTTCGGAAAATGGCGTGATAGAGCGACGACCAGAGAGATTCAATCCCGAGGGAATTTAGCGTCACCGGAAATTCCGTCTGATCCATTTACGATGCGATAAATTCGCGAATGTGAACTAAATCATACGCAAATTAATGAAACGAATATCTCGATAGTTAAAATCCCAACGAAATATGGGATCTACTTATTTCTTTGTTTAAAACAATTCTAATTTTATATTGTGTTAAAAGATATAGATTTATTTAGAGAAAGAGAAAATATGTAGGTTTGTAATGAGTTATGTTTAAAAATATAAAGACGTGGATCTTTAACACATAGGGACAAAAAAAAATTGATCCAAATTATTCGTATTGATTTAGTCATATCATATTAGTCGATTAATCTATTTTCCTCGCGACCCAGATTAAATCCGAACAAAGCGATTTCTCGATCGGCATTCACTCTCGCGCGTTATTGTTGCCCGATAAATATGTAGACGTGCAGTCGTGCGGAATGGCCGTTAAAACGACGATGCGAGGCACGGCGGAGCTCCACGGGACAAGTTCGTAAATATCTGAAATGAAATCTAAAGGCGCGCGAGTAAATAAAGATAACAATGTGTCGATAAAGCTTATACCGCACGGAAGGGAAACGTCATAAGACTTTCGTCTATAAATTCTGTTACTATTACTCCTGTATAGAGTATATGCCATTCGCACGCCATGGCAATAAAACGCGATATAACGCATTCTCGAAGCGATTCTATGGTGAACATAGTCGATATCTCGTCTACTACAGGTTGTCCCAGAAAATACGAGAAGACGACAATTGCCTGAGTGAAATTAGGAACTGAGGCATGGAACAATATGATGTTTGAGAAATAAAGTATGAAAGATATTTGCAACGATACGATAGACCATAAAAAAATTTAGAGTTAACAGATTTTTCTGTATAAATTTATATAATACTTGATTTTCATTATGATTTTAATTTTTGATAAATATAATATAATATTACTAAAAATTGAAAATTGTTTTCGAAGTGTTAATCGATCAGATTTTATCGTTGTCTGATAAAATTTAATTTTTTATATATGAAAAAATACAAAAGCACACGAGTTATATTCAGGATGAAGAATAACAAACGTTTTACATATTCTAAGATAATACTTGTGTTAGATAAAAGTAATCACAATTCTCGAAATGCGCATCCATCTTTGATTTAATTATCTCTGGCATTAATTATGTATTCATATAATCATATCTTGAAACTCGTGATTTTGTTGAGGCCTATAGAAGAGAGAGAGCCGGCAAACGGTGTGTATTTTTCTATCGACGCCGGTCGTCGCCGCCGCGGCGCCTATGATTTACATGGCGATAAACTAACGCCTTGGTACGGTGGCCAAAAAAAACGCGTTTGATTTATCCGCGCACTTTCGCGAAGTACTGGACTTTTGCCAGGCCGGAAGGTCCATCTCGCCGGAAATCACGATCATAATTCAGTGTCCATCCTGCGAAAGAGGGAGAAAGGTACATCCGTACCGTGAAAACTCGGAAGAAAGTCCGTCTTGCTGGAATTTACATAAAGAACGCGCCTTTTCGTAGAATTGATTCGCACTTTTTGTGATATACATAATTGCCTCCCCTCCAAATGTTGCCTCGAAGATTTTTGCGGACTCGATATTTGTTTTAATTTTTTTAATGTTAATGTCTCTCAAGTTCTTATTCTTTTATTCGCAATCACGTTCCGGTGATTAAATTCGAGTCTATTAACACTCGAGAATAAATCGATTTACAATTGAATGTCTTTTTATTTACTTTGGACGGTTAAAGTCAAGGCGCAGTTAATGGTGGAAATTAAAGCCGGGATGGTTTTTCCGTCACGTTTTTGCTTGCTTGGAAAGGAGGCCGCAGACGTAGAACGCTGCCGCTGATGGTGTTCAGGAGTCAGTCGGGTCTGATTACACGTCGGTGAGGCAGGGCAATACCTTCCGTGTCGGGGTCCACCCTTCCGCCGGGATACTCCGGAGAAGGGAGGGAGGAAGGAAGGGGAAACGGGCGTTTGCAATTTAACGGAATCTCTGCATATAGAGTGGATTCATCGCGGGTCCGCACTTTAAATGACGTCCCGGAAGTCCCCGTGCTAATTCTACGGGTCCTCGGACGTGTATACCACCGGTGTGCCCCCTCGACCTTCTCTATACCGTCGGGTCCGCGCCCTAATGCAGGGCAGAACTGGTTATGCAACGTCGGCGCTCGTTATAATTGCGGTCCACGACCAGGGAGAGAGATAAGAGCGTTTTACTAAACGGCCATGGAACACTTGCGTGCAACATCGTTTGTCAACCCATTCATATTTATTCCCACCGTATAATATATCGCGAATTAAATATATTCATTATTCCGACGAGCGGGCGAATAATATTTGCAACGAGATATCGATACGTGATATCAGTTACAGCTTGCTGATATTATCTCTCGGCTTTTGTGTTTTGTCGTACAAATAATTTAATATAATTAAATCGTTTTTGCCGAGTAAGCAGTTTTTGCCGAATAACAGTGATACACACAGATATTTGATGAGGGATATAATATTCTACGGTATTTATTTCAAACACATATAATATCATTTAAATAATAGATTATTTGACATTTAAATTATTTTACTCGACGTGCAAAGTTTATGGAAGCGAGCAATGTTATGGTTTAGAGATTGACTTTATGGTGGAATCTGTCATTGAATTTATTTGCATTATTATTCTATTCTTTTAGTAGTTTGTAATTGATAGCCCCGTGTATAATCTTTCATTCTGAATCCTCATCAATTCACTTCACATCGCTGGGTATTATATTTAAAATGTCGTATCGTTTAATCAATATCAAAACATGTTTCATAAATTTGCTTATCATTCGTAACGACTCAGCAGAAAACAAAGTAACCAAACATCCGTACTTCAGTTTCATGTGCAGAGAGATATCGCATACCGATCTAGCAACCTGCAACATTTTCCTTCGATACAAAGAATGACTGTGCGTCACGAAAGTCTTTACACCTTTCCACCACGCAGCTTCGTAATTATTCGCGACGTGATATATTCTACAATAGAGTATGATCCACTCGATGATTTTCTTTTTTTACTATTAATCATTCTGAGTTTTTTCCAAATAATTAGATAATAGAATAATATAAAATTGTATAGTATATATATTATTTAATTTCTTTAAATTACGATATTATATTTATTTGATATAGGCATAATATGATATATAATATATGTATGCTTGTGTTTTATTCTTTACAAAAATATTTTTAAAAATAATAATTTTTTTAGTTTAAAATTATAGCGTATATATATAAAAATACTTTTGAATATACATTTAAAATTCTGTCGCCGAAGAGATCTTTTTTTTAATAAAAAGGTAATTCGTGCACGCGAGATACAAGTGTATAACCATTTTCGGAAGCGCAGCCGACGAGAATAATTTCCGATTCGCTCTGCGCGAACGCTCTCTCGCGCGTTACTGCGGATGGATTTAAAAATAAGTGGGCGCACGCGGAAACGCGCTGTCTGTTCTTGTGTGCGGGATACGGGAACCGTTGGTGGCAAACAATGAACGCGCGTTGTATGGTGGACGAGGGGTCGAGAAGGGTGAATTGCGACTACGTGCCCGGGCATACGAATCCGTTTACGGATGTACGGGACGGAATTGGAAGGAGGGGACGGGCGCCCTCGACGCCGCGTCGGCGTCTCCTTGAATCTAATAGATCGCGCCCAATACTTATGGTCAAATCGCGACCAACAGCCCCCGGAGACTAGGCTGGGGTTCGCTCATTACCATTCCGGCCCGGCGCCGTGGCTTCTCTCCAATAACCGTTGTTGATAATCAGAAATGCCTTGCGAAGATTGTAAATCAATTCGAAGGACGGCTGCCATGGCGTCGCCAAGCAAAATGTTCGGTTCTGTATGCTCGTTTGGATAAGTTCCAATTCGATATTGGTATAAAAAAATTAATATCTCATTAATTAAAGTCTTCAAAACATTAATCTAAATTTTAAATATTTTTTGACAAGTGATATTAATTATTATTTGTTGACACAAGCAACGGATAAATAATATTTTATTTTTACTTGGGTCATTAACTTTAATAAAATTAAAATCTTAAGTGCGTTTTTTTTTTGTAGAGAGTATTATTTCTAAATTGTATTATTTAAATTAAAATGAAACTTTTCGTTTGTTTTATCTTGTGGCTGCTTTGGGATTATTTAAGAATATCGATGTCTTTCTCGGCGAACCGCAAGCAGACAAGAATCGACCGGACCGACAAGGTTTCTCGCTTTCAGGAATCCGATTCTCCGCCGTGCATCGGCGCGGTAATCTCCAAGTATACGAGAGGAGAGTGTGATCTCTCTCTCCTTAAAGTTTAAGCCCCTGTTAAGGCAGCTTAAAACTCAGGTAACGGGAATTACGCCGAGAATATCCCGTTGAAAGTTACGGACGGATTTCGGAATTGCATCGCTCGAGACGGGAAGTTAATTGGAAATCAGTGTAATTGTGTTTTCGATCGATATGTGAGTTGCGTATGAAACATTGCATTTGAGTTTTTTTCGAATACGAATATAATACCAAAATTTATATACCAACTTCAATTAATCTTGTGCTACTTATGCGCGCGGCGTATGGAAAACTTGTCCACAATGATAAATGCATATACATGCGTAATTCTGTCACCCCTTGCTGTTTTACATTTCACATTTTGCATAATTCTTTGTTATCTGTTGTTACAGGAAAGCTTGGAAGAGCGAGTGCAAGAACTGGAACAAGCGTTGCTGGCGGAACGTATCGCGGCTCAACGAGATCGAGCGACGATTACAAAGTTGCAGCGGCAAATTAACAAGGTATGTTGTCCTTTTCAGGACGATAAACTCGTCTCTCAGTGAAAGTAAAAAGTTGGGGAAAAATGAAAGACTTAATTGAAGTAAAAGTATTAATGTTCATCTCACTTCTTGAGATTTCGAAAGAAAAAAGTTATTTCTAACATGATTAAAAGTAAGTCGATTGCATGAGAAATTTATCTAGAATACAATGATAGGATATGCGACAACTATTACGATTTTTAACTCACAATATTAAATTATCCAATTTTAATAATGATCGAAAATTTGACTGGAATAGAAAAATAAATACAAACAGGTATCGAAAAAAACTTATTTTCTGAAAAAGATTTACATATCGCATTTAAAATTTGTATTCTATAAATTTTTACTTTACTCTGCCACTTCTCTATATCGAGAAGAAACTAAAGTGGCGGTAAGATACGTTAGTATCGGCCCGAAACCGCGCGCAGTAGTAGCAGCCAACTCGATCAGACTTCGGAAGTTAGTTCTGTTCCTTCGATCGGTCGAAGTATCTGAAAACTATAGTCTCCGTCTTGCACGGAGTCGCCGATCCGTTAACTTGGACCCGCTCTCTCTGGAACGAGATTGCAATTGCGAGGACGGTTCAAGTGGTATGGTGTGGTGTGGTAGTCTCGATCTGGTCCAGACTTGCACGCGCGGCTGACTGCGCCGGCTCTGCGGATGCGGTGGCATTCGGCGCCGCGTTTGCCGTATCAGATAACGGCGACCCTCGTAAACCAGACTCCGCAGACTGCAGAAATACCCCGGGTCCCTCCGAGATAGGAAGCGAGTGGGAGAGAGCGTCCCTCGCCGTAATCACGTTTCTCTCCTTTCGCGCAGTTTATTCGCGTTATGTCACTTGCAGGGAGAACGTCCTAACGCCCGGCGCCCCGGTATAATCGCCGCCGACTGATTTATTCTCTTGCCATTGATAATCTCACGACGCCCGGATCGTTTGATACGTTATTGCCGATCGGCCCCGCTGATTATAATACGAAATTATCATCCGGAAGTGTGTGTTGCGATTTAACTATTAACGACATTATGGTGATCAGGTTAATTCGTCTAAATTCTAATATATTAGTATAGTTTTTTAATAAGTGGCGTTAATTAACATGATTAGTTTATATTTTTATAAAGTGAAATATTTATCTAATTATTTGCAATATGCTATATATGTATATGATTTTCTTTTATGTTTACAATTTTTAAAATGCTGATTTTTAATTTTATACTTATTAAATATAAAAATTTCTCTATCGTATAAATGACGCATAAAAAATCTTTTTATTGTGTGCGTGGCAGGATTTTTTAAAATATTGAAACTTTTCTCAAAGTAAGATATATAATTTCGTGCTAAAAGGATCATTATGTAACGCGTACAACGTACGATGTTGTAACGCGAATAATAAAATTTATACATTTGCATTACGTTAAACGAAAAAAATTTTGCGTTTTCATATAACATTTCACATTATGCGATATTTCATTATTGCGTACGAACGAGACATATGTACTTATACCACATTTCATTTCCCGTCGCGCAATTTCCAGCGTAAAGCATTTGCGATTACCTCGACGTTTCCATCGAGATGAAAAGATTGCACGCATGCATACCGAGCGGCGTAATAATTCCGAACTCGTTTCGCGTTTTAATCCATTTTACCTTTCCCGGCTGAATCGGCGACAGAGAGAGACAAAAGGAGAAAGAGGGAGAGATAAAGAGCATCCCGAAACGCTCGTTGTCGTAAGACGGACTTTCCGGATAGGACGAGGATGACGGATACGTAGTGTGCTTTTGACATTCCCTTTTCCTCGCCCCTTTTGCAAGTCTATAAAATATCACGACAAAAACAAGCACGGGCGGACGAAGGGTGGCGATATCCCTTTCAGGTTGGGGTAATCTCGCGTGATTTACGCGTTTTTCACGAACGGATTTTCGCGAGTGTCCAAATTATTTATCGCGCGTCCTGCGATTGTAAGATGAAATTGAAAGACTTCCCGTCGATTTTCCTCAAATCATCCTCGAAGCTATTGCGGGATCACGAACGTCTCTTTACGCACGTATAACATTGCGTACGCTGATCGAAAAGGATGCTAGGGCTTTTTCGTGGCCCTTTATGTTCCTTTGTGTCGCTTTGATAGACGACAGGCGATGGACTGATAAGTGTCGCACATATATGTGTAAGATTACACATAATTGTATAATAATATATATATGCCGTTTTTATAAACTGCATTTAAATTACATGAATATAAATTTATACCAACGATATTGGAATATTGGAAAAAAAACTTGTTGATACTAAGACGAATAATTAAATAATTAACAATAATTATTTTCTAAATCCTCTTCTTTCATAGCGAAAATATTTTTGCGATGCGAGACGATTAGAATCGTGAGAACCAGCCATGTCGGAGGGCAGATAAAATTAATTATGTTGCGTGGAAGAGCG